CACATAAAGCTTGGAGGATAGTCAATTTAGACAATTTTCAGTATTCTGGAGAATTGAAGGCAATGGAATTTCCCCCTTGATTCTTGTGCCTTTAAGTTCATGTGGCTCCATTAATGTAAGTTAATGTAGCTGCTTGCCTTTTTTCACTCCTAAGACACCCTTTCTTGTCAGTTTAAGAACTGAACTAGACCTTTTTTTTTTTTTTGGTCTTTTTGAGACAGAGTCTTGCTGTGCAGTTCAGGCTGGTCTTGAACTTGCAACAATCCTCCTGCCTCAGCCTAAGTGCTGGGATTACAGGCGTGAGCCACCATGCCCAGCTAGACTCATTTTCTAAATCTTTGGAGTGAACCTACGTGTCACATAATGTTAAGGATTGAAAATTCCCTAAAAGTCAGTCCCTTATTCAGGTGAGACTGATGCTGGGAGATGAGATACTTTTTAAAAATAACTCACATAGTCAGATCAGTGGGTCTCAGCCTTGGCTAAGCTTTGGAAACACCTGTCAATCATTTGCCTTTAACATTCATGTTTAGACCTTAACCCTGAAGTACTCTTACTACTGTAGATCAGACTGTTTCTTAGATCCCTAGGTTGGAAAGCTTTATTTTCTTAGCTTTTGAGAAATAAGTCACTTCATAGGAAATGAGATCTTTTCATTTTGAAAACTTCATTTTAAATTATCAGATCAACTTAGTAGTGTTTAGAATCTTTGTATGTGTGACAGATGGTATTAAAGTTTATTCTTATCAATATAGGTTTATGGTGAGTCTTTTTGGAATAAATTGAAATGATCTTTGGGTTTTCAGAAACGTTAATAATTGTATTAAAATTTTACCTCCCATTATTTATTCAGAGTTTGGGTTGTCATTTTGAAAAAAAAAAAACAACCTTTATTTTTCCTATAGGTGAAAGCACTGAAAGAGAAGATTGAATCTGAAAAAGGGAAAGATGCCTTCCCAGTAGCAGGTCAAAAATTAATTTATGCAGGTATGAATTAAATTTGCCATGTCTTGCTTATAGTAACATTTTTGAGTTTTAGAAATGTTATGTTACAAATTACAGTATATTCAAATTGATTCTGTTATACACATTGTGTAGATAAAAGCAGTGAAAAGAGTGGTCATTTAAATATGACATTAATATTCAATCTTCTCTTTATTCACATTTGCACCATACATTTTTCCATCGAATGCTATTTTATTTTCTTTTGTAATCATCGTATAACTGCCTTTTGTGTTTTTAATGAAACTGTCTTGATTTTATTAATCTAATGAATTGGGACTGTGCAGTGATTTTATTAATGTACTCAAAATCAAATTTAATACTTTTTTTCCTTTTTTTTTTTTTTTCTTTGAGACAGGGTCTCACTATGTAGTTCAGGCTGGCCTTGAACTCACTATGTAGCCCAGGCTGGCCTCGAAATGCAGCAGTCCTCCTGCTTCATCCTCCCAAGTGCCAAATATCTATTTTTGAATAAACCACTAAAAGTAACTAAAGTATACAGAAAGTCTTTAATACTGAGAGGCGCTATAAATAAGTGATAAGAGTCGGGGAAAGGATTATAAGGTAAAGAGTTCTTAGAAATCAGTAAGGCATAGAGGATCCATTAGAAAGGAACTAATGATGGGAACAGAAAATTGCAAACTTTTATCATCCTCACTGGTAACCAGGAAAGGCTTGTTCAGAAATCAACTTGATATCCAAATTTTATAAAGTTCTCTGTGTTCTTTAAAAGAAGTGCTGAGCTCTATCCATTTTGTAGATACCAAGGAGGCAAGTCTTTAATTGCCTGAAACTTCCTGCCCTTTCCTAGATCAGAGGTTTTGTAGTACTTTACTTCTCTAAATGAGGCAGTTTATAGAGATATTAGCTACTATTTTTATAGGTCAGGATTCAGAATCCTAATGAAGCAGACATAAAAATACAATTTATGGTACCTGCAGCCTGTTCTTTTAATTCTTACACAGAATAGAGGTAGAGACTCAGGACTTTCTGGTTAATGCTTATAACTTGTGGTGCAAATAACTTTTTAAAAATGGAAAACTAAAGGCTGGGGATATAGCTCAATGGTAGACCCCTTGCCTAGCATGTTTGAGGCTCTGGGTTCCATCCCTAGTCTTGGGGGTAAAAAAAAAGGAAAACTGTGTTCCAGGAAAAAGAACCCTCCATGGGGTCCTGACTACTATACTGTCTGGCCGTCAGCTGACTACAGTTTTAGGTTCCCCTGCCTGTGCTTTACTGAGTTCTATACTATCTTCCTTTTCCTGTATACCATCTCATGTTTAGAAATGTTTTTGTAGTATCTCACTTTCATTCATAGCATTGGAATATTGCTGATTAGTCCAGTAGCTGGTATTTCAGGAAATTAGGAAGTTTGTTGCAATCCCCTTCCTCCTATGAGGAAAGAATGTAGATTATTTCCCAAGGACTATCTGGGCAGTCACAGTATTGGATTTTCTTTGTCTTTAAGAGCTCCACTTTTGGATCTGTTTCATATTGCCTTGCCCAGCAAATCTTTTATATAATTAATATATTTTTAAAGATTGCTTGATACTAGATTCAGCTGTGGTCTCTCACACCTGTAATTCCCCTACTCAGGAGGCTGAGGGAAGAGGATTACTGTGAGCTCAAGGCTGGCCTGAACTACACAGTGAGAGCCTGTCTCAAAAAAAAAAAAAATTTCGCTTGATATTGTATATACAGGAGATATATTTGGCACCTTTCAGTTAAGCTTTATGCCTTCTTAACTGATGTGTTCTCGTTTATGTTTGTCTTTATTTTGGCTGACTGATTAATGTTTTACTTGGGAAAATAATTAATGAGTTAGCATTGGTGGTTAATAGAAAGCTGTTTTGATTTCCTTTATGTGTAAGACAAAGATTACAGTGCCTTAAATAACATTTTTTTCCTCTGACTATATTAGGTAAAATCCTCAATGATGACACTGCTCTCAAAGAATATAAAATTGATGAGAAAAACTTTGTGGTGGTTATGGTGACAAAAGTAAGTTTCAGCCTTGTTCTGTGTGTCTTTATGCATATGAGTCTTAAAAAATAATGATCCAAATTCCACATAATGGGTACAGTTTATGTGTCTGTAGCATTGTGTACCTCAGTGATAATTGTATACATTTATAGTTTCTGTCTAAACTAAAACAGTTGAAATACTTAGAAATCATGTGAAAATTTGTTTTGCTAGGATAGTTACATACTGTGTAAGTTTTAAAAATATGATTAGCACAACCAAGATATAGCCCTCTGGTATAGCACTTGTCTAACACATATGAAGCCCTGGGTTTGATCCCCAGCATTTAAAAAAAAAATTGTGCTTAGCAGCTGAACAAACCTCTTTTGTTCTGTACCCTTTAATAAGGGTGCTTTGAAGGAGTTTGATATGTATTAAACCTGAGAAACTCTTCCAGGCAAAAAGGGTAAAATGTAAACACATTATTTCAGTGGTATTTCTTTGCAAAGAAATGGGATTTTTAGAAACTAAGAAAAGGAAAGAGATGATGGAATGATTTTTTGAAGACATTTGAACAGGAATGTTTTTTGTGATTTACTGGTCTGAAGTTCTTTGGGGTTTTTATTGTTTGTTTTGGGGGGATTTTTTTGTTTGTTTTGGGGGGTTGTATGTTTGTGTGTGTTTGAGACAGAGTCTCACTATGTAGTACAGGCTGGCCTTGAGCTTGCGTACATAACCCAGGGTGGCCTCAAACTCAGGGCAGTCTTCCTGCCATGGCCTCTCATGTAGTGTGATTATAGGTATGCGCCACTGTGCCCAGTTTGGGATTATTTATAAAAGTGAAATTTTTCTCTGAGAGAATGACCATGGATTCTTCTTTTCTTTTCTTTTCTTTCTTTCTTTCTTTCTTTCTTTTTGTCTTTTTGAGACAAAGTCTTGCCATGCAGTTCCTCCTTGAACTCACTTTTTTTTTTTTTTTTTTTTTTGGTTTTTCTCCGGTACCGGGAACCAAACTTACGACCTTGCGCTTGGCAGGCAGGCGCTTTGCCGCTGAGCTAAATCCCCAGCCCCCTCCTTGAACTCACTTTGTAGCCCAGGCTGGTCTTGAACTCTCAATGATCCTCCTGCCTCAGCCTCCCGAGTGCTGGGATTACAGGCGTGCGCCGCCATGCCTGGCTGACCATGGATTCTTTGAGAGACTGTTAATTTATTTACTTACTTTTTAAATACTTGTTTAGTAAGAATGCATAATCATGCAGGGGAGAGTTAAGACAAATACAGAGGTTGTGCTACTCATGACCTTAATTTTTATGATTGAATTGTCACATAATGGGAGGGAGCAGTGTTATCAGTAGCTTTACATGACAGTGAAACACCTGAGGTATCTACTTTGTAAGAAGTGGTGGTTCATTAGCTCAGTTTTGGAAGCTGGAAATCCAAAGTGTGATTCAGACTCTGATAAGGGTCCCTCTTAGCTGCATCACATCTTAGGGAGCGAACATGTGTATTTCTATATTCTATCCATATGTGGTCTCTGCTTGCCTTATAATCAGAATTCAGTCGGGGTTCTATGCTGATAATGTCGCCTAATCACTTTCCAGAAATCTCACCTTTAAACTCCCTGGTCAGATTACATTTCCACCCTCTTAATTACTATTAAAACCTTATCCATTAAGCTCTATGAGTTGGTTAGAGGGAAGTTACCATGTGTTAGTTGCATCCATAATTGAAAACAGTTTATCTAAGACCAAAAGTGGAATAAATGTGGCAATTTTTTTTTCAGAGTCACAAAATAATTGACAGTAATTGAAAATAATTTTAATTACCTTAAACTGAGAAACAGAAAGCAACTACACAGTTTATATATGTTGAATTTGAAATTTTTTTAATCAAATAAAGGCCCAAAATGATTTTGCAGTATTTAAGCATCAAGCGTACAGTCTAGCAGTGCACGGCTGTGTAAGTGTCCCCATCTTTAGCTGCACAGCTTGCGTTTTCCCAAGTTGAACTTTACCTCCACTAAACACTCACTCCTCTTCCTCTTCTCTTATCCCTGAGCAACTGCCCTTCTACTCTGTCTTTCACTCTAGGTTCATAATATAAGTGAACTTTTACAGTAGTTGTCCTTCTGTGGCTGGCTTATTTCACTTAGCATAATGTCTTCAAGGTTTATCTGTGCTGTAGCATATATCATAGTTTTATTCCTGTTAAAGCTGAATAATATTTTCTTCTCACTAGTTTCATACATATTGCATAAGGGTAGATGGGATAATCATATTTGGATATGTTTTGTTACTGCTGACATAATCCTTTTGTGAGACAGTAACCTTGACAATTGAGAATGTAAGAAGTAAGCAGAAAGGATCTCAAAATAGGTACAAGTCTTTGAGGAATACTTACATTACATAGGATTCTGGTAATATTCGCACTTTTTATTTTGAAGTTAATAAAATAGGCCAGTTATTAGAAGGGAAAGAAGGTTCCTATAGTTCAGTACTGTGGAAGCAATGAGAAGACCTTATTAAGAATAAAGGAGAAAGTCGTTTAGATCAAAAGCAAGAAGAAAAATTTCAAAAAGCAGAGAGGCTTAGTACTGTTTAGGAGAAGGTTTAAATAAGTCTTCGTAGAGAGTGCTGGAAGACATGTCTATTACAGTATTTTTTTCTCTGTAATCTGTTGACCACAAGTAATTAGGGAAAATGTTAAGTGGATATAATACAGTTAAAATTATTTTCATTCAGATTGATTATTACAATATTGTGCTTTGTAAAAATCAAAATCTTCATATTTAGGAAGCTCTAATTTATCCACAATTTCATTACCTAGGGATTTCATCTCACTGGAATTTTAGAAATTAGAAATCTTTATTATATTAGCAGTTAAAGTTACAAAACTGAACACAGGACTCCTAGAACAGGAAAAAGAAATAGTAGATGCTAGTAGTTTTTAAAAACTTCCTTCTCCATCCATTTGCTTGTTTGTTTGAGACAGGATCTTGCCTTGGTAGTGACCTCAGCCTCCTGACAGTGCTGGGATTTCGGGCCTGTGCCACCACACCTGGCTTCTTCCTTCATCCTTGCACTAACCTCTTTTTCTCCAGTGTATTGTAAGCTTACATCAAGCAAGACACAAGGCATCCCTTCCTGCTTTTACAGTTCGTTGATTTATGCTTGTGGCAAATTACGCTGTATGTTTAATTACATCAAAAGAGTTAAGTTTTGTCCATAGGAAAGTTATGAACTAAACAGCAAATTTGGGGGTGGGTTGTGGTGGTTGTTGTTTAGAGAAAGGGCATTGCCATGTAGTTCAGGCTGGCCATGAGCTCAAGGTGATCCTCCTCCTGTCAGCCTCACCAAGTGCTAAGATTACAGGCATGTACCACCAAGAGGTAGTCAGCATTGGTAGGCCTCAAAGTATGATTTTATTTTCTCTGTGTGAATCTTTTTTGTCTGTTTACATATAGATCTCAAAATATTAGTAGCCTTTTTATACTTATACTTACTTGTTATGGTTAGTATTTGGATTTTCTTCCTAAAATGCAGAATGTTTGACATTCATTAATAGTCATACTTCTATTTTGAGAAAGTTATACTTTCAAGAAAATTATTGTGGCAGTGCTTTTAAATGGCAGTAAATAAGTTATGATCAGAGTACATAAAATAGTGCCTTCGTTGTGTTCTTTTTCATATTGATATGTAGACTGAAATTGTCGGCTCGAGTCAGTTGTGTGGTCAGTAATTAAGGTAACAGAAATTCTCTTAAAAACTTAAAAGATCACAGAGTGGTTCAGTTTGCTAATCTTGGTCGTTTATTATGTCATTTTACAAAATTATGTTCAAGTTCCAAGTTTGTACTCCCGTTGTGTTTTAGCATCCTGTAACAGTAGTCTAATTGGGTATCATATAGTATATTTTATTATAATTACTTTGCTTTTTAATACACATAGCCCAAAGCAGTGACCACAGCAGCACCAGCTACAACGCAGCAGTCAAGTCCTGCCAGCACCACCACTGTTAGTTCCTCCACAGCAACAGCTGTGGCTCAGGCACCAGCCCCTGCCCCTGCTTTGGCTCCCACTTCCACACCTGCGTCCATCGCTCCAACAGTGACGGCAGCATCTTCTGAACCTGTGCCTGCTAGTGCAGCTCAGCAAGAGAAGCCTGCAGAGAAGCCAGTAGAGACGCCGGCAGCTAGCAGCCCCACATCAGCTGACAAGTAAGAACTGGGTTTGGGGGAACTTATCTCTGAATAGGCGCACAACAAGAACATGTGCGTGTATTTTTTTGAAGTTAGTACATGTTTACAGTCCACAGTGCTCACATCCATCATGGGGATTCTGCATATGTACCTTAATTCTTTTTTTTTTTTTCAGCCCCTTCTCCCCATTTGCAATAGCTCCATCTCCATGGGTTTTTTTCTTTAAGTACTTTTTCCCCCGCACACAACTGTAATCCCAGCATCCAGGAGGCTGATGCAGGAGGATTGTTGTGAGTTCGAGACCAGCCTGGGTTACAAAGTGAGCTCAAGGCCAGCCTGGACTGCATAGCCAGACCCTGTCTCAAAAAACAAAAAAATAAAATAACATAAAAGGACCCAGGGCCTGCTGGCTGCCTGCATGAAGGACAAGGGGCTGCAGACCGCAGGTACTAACTAGTACCATCTGGAGAGTGGTATCTCTGTGCCAGGAGCTCTGCGTAGTTTATCTTGCAGAGTCTGTGAGTCTGGTATGATTATTCCTATTTTTTTTTCCTTCCCCCCAATCTCTTGTTCTCCTTCCCACTTGAAAAGTTCTTCCTACTTCCTAATATCTTCCATTTTGCCCCTTATTTACACTTTGTGTTTCCCACGCAAGAGAAAGAATGTAGTATTTAAACTTACATATCTGACTTATTTCACTTCAGATTATGGTCTCAAGGTGCATCCATTTACCTAAAAATGCCTCAAGTTTATCCCATTTTATGACAGAATAGTACTCCATTGTATATAAATACATTTTCTTTGTCCATTTATCTGTTGGTGGACATATGGGCTCTTTCTAAGATCAAGCTATCATAAATTATGCTGCTATAAACATGGGCTGGCATGTATCACTGGTAGGATGATTTTAACTCAGGAAGATATTGCATGTATTTATTTTGAATATTGTTTTCATAAAACTGACTTCTATCTACTTAAGTTTTTCTATACTTTGAACTCTGACTAAACTGCATTCTTATGTCTATTTTGATAGTTTAGGTAATATACACATCCCCATCCATAATCCACATTTCCCATTCTTGATTTTCTTTTTAAGTGAGGAAGGGAGGATCATTCATTTTGAGTAGAAATGTTAGAAAATACAAATGATCAGAAACAGCAAGAAGCCAGGCATGGTGGTGCACACTTGTAATCCCAGCAACTTGGAAGGCTGAGGCAGGAGGATCTTTGTACATTTGAGACCAGCCTGGGCTACAAAGTGAGCTCAAGGCCAACCTGAACTGCACAGCAAGATCCTCTCTCAAAAAGACAAAAAATAAAAAAGAAAGAGCAAGAATTCTAACATTGCTACCCTATCATTTTCTATATTTGCCTTATACTTCTGGTTATTGTGTATATCATAAGCACCTTCCACATCAGTAAGTGTGTCCACTTGCTGAATAGCATTGTGGTTGGTTCTGACATTCGTTAGTCCTTATAACCATAGAGAAGTAATTGACACCTTTGAATTTTTTCCTCATTTATTTTATTTATTTATTTATTTTTTTTTTTGGTCTTTTTTTGAGACAGGGTCTCGCTGTGGAGTTCAAACTGGCCTTGAGCTCACTTTGTAGCCCAGGCTGGTCTCGTAGCCCAGACTGGTCTTAAACTTGCAACAATCCAAGTGCTGGAATTACAGGCGTGTGCCACCATGCCTGCCCCTCATTTGTAAATAGTGCATGGAAACCAGGACCTATCTCACAGTCATTATCAGGATTAAATAGTGTGTTACATAGTATGTAAGGTAACATGTGATGCACACTAACTGCTAAGAATCAACAGTTGTTGATACTTTACCTAACACCTTTTATTGAACCTGTGGGTTGTTGGAATTTTTGACTCATATCTCTACTTTGGTGACCTACATAGAAGCTAAGCTGTGTCTCTGGAGGTCTTTTTTTGTTTTGTTCTATATTTGAGACAGGGTCTCCCTTTGTAGTTCATGCTTACCTTGAACTCACTATGTAGTCCAGGCTGGTCTTGAATTCATGGCATTTCTCCTGTTTCAGCCTCCCAGGTGCTGGGATTACAGGCATGCATCACCACACCCACCTGTCTCTGGAGTTCTATAGAAAGAAAATGTAGAGATATTTGAAGAAAGAAATAATTTCTTGTGGGAAGTTTACAATTAGATTACCAAGCAGTTTATAGCAGTGATTTTTTTTTTTCGGTGTGGGGGGGTCATCTGTAAATGATAATAAAATGACTACGGCTAGTGCTTCCATCAGGGTTATCTTGGCTGGAAAGCCATACTTTCCCTAGGAGCATGCATTATATTTGTGATCTGCTTTCACTCGCACTCCAGTTGTTTGTTTTGTGATTTAGTTTCAACTCAGGACCTCAGTGGCAGTACTAAATAAACTTGGAATCAGTCAAACGCAGTGGAAAACCTGAGTGACTGAAAGTATTTACTGACCTCGAAGGTATCCTGATACATACAGCAATGATTAGAAAGAATATATAGTTGTGCACCTTTATTCATGGGGGAGTATAAGATGTCCAGTGGGTGCCTGAAACCACACAGGGTACTGAACCCTACATACTGTGTTGTTTCCTACACATACATATGCCTGTGATTGCATTTAATTTATAAATTAGGTGTGATAAGAGATTAATGACTGTGACTATAATTATGACACTATACTGTAATAAAAATTAAGGGGGAATGTAATCACACTTAGCCTGTCTCATAGTACTGTGGGCTTTGGCAGCCTGTGCATCAGATTTTTTTTTTTCCCCACTGTATTAAAACAAGCGCTTTCACCTTACGAATTAAAAGAGGTACTTCACAGCTTCCATTTGATATATGAAAGTTGCAAGTATCACTATCCTTGCACTCTGGGGCTGTTAAATATGATGAAGATTACTAGAACACAAACACTGTGATACCTTCACAGTTGCTCTTGTATCTGAGACCAAGGTGACTTAACAGGCAGGTAGCATTTATAACATGGTTGTCCCGAACAAAGAATGCTTTACGTACCAGTTGGGACAGTGGACAGTTCAAGGCCAGAACAAAATTTTGTTGTCCTACTAGGTGTGGTGCATACTTGAAAACTTTTTTCCGTAAGTGTGACTTGTGTGTTGATCTAGTAATCTGTGTTTGGAGCAGGCTGAGTCACCTGGTTCATTGCTGGAAAGACAGCACAGACTCAGGGAGTGTGTTTCCTCTGTGCTTGTCTAAAACACTTTGCTTTTGGCATTCTTTGATGCCATTGCCTAACTTGAGCCGTCTCCGTGTACAGCTAGAAATGCATTCAGCTTTCTTATGTACTAGGAGATCATCCATAGTCAGGTTATGCTGTTACGTCACAGGGCTGTGGATCAAATCTTTATGGAAGGAAGTTTACAAATTTAACTTTAGCCAGGTGTGGTGGTGCACGCCTGTAATCCCAGCACTCAGGAGGCTGAGGCAAGAGGATCATTGCGAGTTCAAGACCAGCCTGGTCTACAAAGTGAGCTCAAGGCCAGCCTGGAAAGATCAATCAATTAATCAATAAGTAAACTTAATGAAATATCTTGAGTCAGTAGAGTATGTCTTATTTTCTGAATTGCTTTAAGCTTCTTAAACTCGCAGTGTGAGAGTTTTGTAATTGATCAGTATACCTTGTATGTTGATAACAATTTAAATTTATTATTTCCACTGTTTTGTTCCTGAGAGCATAATTTACCTATGGTAGAGTCAAAATTACCTTTTCATATCAGCAGATGGTTGCATAAGTGAGTTGCTACTGGTCAATAATCCTGGAAGCATACACTAGAGTACCCTACTTTGTTGACCTTTGTATACCAGCTGCTTATGCTTACTTCTCAAAATTACACATCTTAGGGAAGGTTAATACAGGAAAGGTGAGAAAAGCTCAGACTAAAAACTGTTTAAATGTACCTCAGTTCCTTGTGTGTGCTGTTAAATGTTTAGCATCTTGCAAAAAACAAACAGTGCATAATTATCATGAGGTACCCTGATACAAGTATATGAAGTATCAAGAAGTTTGCTGTATGTGAGGGTGATCTGGTTGTGACATCTTTCATGCCCCCATTGATTGCCAGGGTTGATCCAGCTGATCTGGCTGGCCAGGCACGTGTCTCCTGCTTCTCTCACCACTCCACGTGCGTCCCTCCCGAAGCTCCATGCTTGGTCAGAGAGGTCAGCCATCCCCAATAGAGAGGGGTTTCCTTGGTCAAGGGTATTCAAGTAGCTATGCTCCCCTGCTAAAAGTCCAGACAAGCTCTTGACAAGTTTGTCCATCACCACTGGCCTGATATTTTATTTTTAGTGATACTGTTAGGTCAGTTTTGCTCTTTAAAAGTCACCTATTACAGAGCAGATTCTACTTCTTGATAATCTACCTTAGAGGAACTATAATATATGAGGACTGTATTGTTTGTATTCGAAGACATTCAGATCAACCTCATATCCATGAGTAAGGGAACGATTTCACCTGTGGTTTGTTCACAGCTAGAGAACAAACAGTACTACTCAGTGTGGCAGTGCATAGGCAGCTTTAACAGTTCTAGGAGTTTGTGTGAAATGAATTGTTGGGCTCCACCCCAGACCTAAATCAGAACTGTCTGGGGTACATCACAAAAATCTGTATTTTAATGAGCTTAGGTTTGCTGACATTGGAGAAGTTTTTGTCTTAGTTACTTTTTCTCATCCCCGAGACACAGTACCCAGCATCTAACACTGAAAGGAGGAGAGATTTTGGCTTGTAGTTTCCAGAGGTTCCGGTCCCTAGTCGGCCAACTCTAAGGAAAGGTGGCAGGGCAGAGGAAAAACGGCTCACACCACACTGGAGGAAGCAATGAGCCAGCTCAAGAGGGCGTAGAGGGAGATGGACCTTTCCAGGCCAACCCCAGTGAGCCACCTCCTCTGACCAGCTTCGTCTCCCAACATCACAGCTCTGAGTCTGTCGGTGGACTGCTCCATCGATGGATGTCATGCCCCCGCGATTTAGTCACCTTGCAAAAGTCCCACCTATGAGCACATGTGGGGTAAACCTAAGATAAACCTAACACTTGATAACTGACACTACAGAGGATATAATATACAGACATACCAAATGAATGTGACTTCAAGGCTTTTTTGAGTATAAAAGCAGGTTATAAAACAATATAGGCAGCAACCATAGGCCAAAAAAAAAGTTGTGAAACAGCATTGTATGTTTTCCGTGGATATGCCTGTTAATGTGTAGGAAAATTTACAAAGGTCTGGCTCACGTTAACTGATGAGTATATTTTCTCTGGTTCGGGAGGAGAGAAGTGGTAAGGCTGAATGAAGGTTGAAGCATGATGGTGAAAGTGTACTTTCCATCTAAAACTCTTAGAAAGGTATTTTTAAAGCAGCGTTTGAGAATGATGCAAATCGTTCTGAAGGCTAGTAGTACTAGGTAATAAAGTAAATGTATTGTAGGTGGTAATGATTAAAACAGTTTGGAGTGGCTCACATAGGAAAGATTGCTGAGGGGAATAGACAGTAGTCTAGAAATAGAACCTAAAAGCAACTCTTAGGTAAAGATGTCATTTCAGACAGTTGAGAAAATGCTCTTGGGATAAATGCCTCACTGTCTGAAGGGGGAGAGGTGGATCCTTTGTATTGTACCTGCATAAAAATAACTTCTAGATGGATAAAGATGTAATATAGAAGATGAAGCCATGGACTAGTGAAGAACAACGGAAAAACAAGACTGAAACTTGTAAACCAGACTGCACATTGCTTAATAACACTTGGATGTGTTCCACTAAATGGTGGGCTGTGCATTTCTTGAAAGAAATGAGGTAGATGGGGTTGTGGTGACATGGAATAATAGTTAAGTTTTAAAAGCTCCACAGAAATGGGGAGGGAGAGAGAAAGTAAAAAGAGTTAAGATGTCTTATATAACTGCACTAATAAAAATAGTTTTTTAATTAAAACAACCCCCTACAAAAAGAAGACACTAGTCTTTTTTTTATATTTTTAATGTCTAGTTAGTGAAGAAACTTAAAATATGCCAAAGGATTATTTTAAGCATAATAATAATTTGGATATTAAGATGCCAGGTACTTTCCTGAGCATCTTACTGGCAGTAAATCCTACCTGAAATACTTGGGAGTATGTACTGTTGTGGACCTTGCGGAACTGATGGGAAAAATGAGACGTAGGAAGTTTGAGTTCAAATGTGGATTCTCTAGCTCTTGCTGTGCTACGGAATGCCTTCTTAAAACTGAAGTATAACGTGGATCCTTCCCTTAGTATTACATAACTAAATTTACAAAACACAGGGTTTTCTTGTATATGTTTTGTTCATGCTCATCCGTCACTACCATCTCGTACTATCCAACTCCCCCTGTAATGAGTTTTTTTGTTACTATTTTAAAAATTGAGGGGCTGGGGATTTAGCTCAGCGGCACAGCGCCTGCCTGGCAAGCACGAAGTTGTGAGTTTGATTCCTAGTACCGAAAAAAAATAAAAATAAAAATTGAAATGTGCCAGGTATGGTGGCGCACACCTGTAATCCCAGCACTTGGGAGGCTGAGGCAGGAGGATCATCATGTTTGAGGCCAGACTGGGCTACCCAGTAAGACCCTGTCTCAAAAAGCATTAACAACCCAAAAAAAATTGGAATGAGGGTATATGCATGGGAGACATTTGTGCATGCATGCTGATGTAAACTTCTAACTCCTACCTTTGCCACTTTTGTATAAACTTCAGTTTATTTCTCTTTGGCTATCTCTTTAAGGTATCTCAAAATATTATCTGTTTTTTGTTGTCTTTGTCTTTTTGAGACAAAGTCTTGCTATGCAGTTCAGGCTGGCCTTTAGCTCACTTTGCAGCCCAGGCTGGTCTCGAACTCCCAACGATCCTCCTGCCTCAGCCTCCCGAGTGCTGGGATTACAGCGCGCCCGTCACACCCAGCTTTTTGTTTGTTTGTTTGTTTGGGTACTGAGAATTGAACTCAAGACCTTGCACTTGCCAGGCAGGCGCTTGTGCCACTGAGCTATATCCCCAGTATCTATTTGTTATTCTAAACTTATCTGTGATTCCCTAATTTAGTGGGGGTTTTTTGTTGTTTTTTTTTTTTTACTGGGAACCAAACTTAGGACCTTGCACTTGCCAGGCAGGTGCTGTGCCACTGAGCTATAGTCCTGGCCCCAAGTCTTTTTAAATTGTTTTCGTGTGGGTTAGATCTTGGATTTTTCCCACATCTGCCTTTTTTGCGTGTGCTGTGTTCCCTGACTTGAATCCCTTCTTTCAATTTAATTGTTCAAACTTACCTATAAAACTTTGCTATGTAATAAAGACTTCTAGCCAAATTTGGCTTCTGTGTGTGCTGTTTAGTGATACATTTATTTTGACATTTCTTCTGTGACTTGGTTTATCTATTATTTTCATTGTGCATTGTCTTTTTCATATCTCTTAAATAAACTGAGTGGACATTACATTTAAAATGATGGATTCTCAGAATAAAAGCGATGTTTAGACTGAAAATTTATTCCAAGCTATGAATGTTATGTGTAATGCTAAATACAGTAGCCAGACTTTTTATTTAAAGGCAAAAGTCTTTGAGAGTTGGATAGTTACAAAACTAATGCAAATTAAATTTTATGTACTTTTTGAAATGTGGTTTTTCTATAAAATTTTTCCAGTACATCAGGAGATTCTTCTCGGTCAAACCTTTTTGAAGATGCAACAAGTGCACTTGGTACGTATGTACTTTATCTTTTGTATAACCTACTAGAAGTAGGAAAGAAGTTTACATTTCATGCTTTTAGATCACTGTAATTTGTTAATATATTACTTATAATTGAGCTGTACAATGATTTAGGTAACTAACGGTCAACCAGTTTATATGTGAGTGTGATCTTGACTAGGTTTAATCTGTATGTAGGTTTATTATGAAATGTCTTTGAAAGAGTACACAACTTCTGTCCATCTTCCTTGCACTTCGTGCTCATTCACCCCTAGGTTCCCAATTTGACGACCCTACATGTTCCCATCTACATTTTGTTACTTGAATTGGTTTATAGCAAAAATGACTTCTTATCCCAGCTTTTAATTTACTAGCCAAGTAAAGCCTTACCCTCTTCTTTCACCCCTGTCAAAATTAGCTCTTTCCTTGCTGACTCTGGTACCCTTCCTACAGACTTTGATTTATTGGCTGGCTGCACTGTTCCTGTTCTTGGTTCAGCAGATAGAAGGCTGGGCTCAGCAGCTTTAGTGGAGTATGGGCTCCTCTAGCTGCAGGGTTTTGTATACCAGTAGCACTGTCAAAGCATCTGGGGGTAGGTCAGTCCTCTGACCTAATTGGACTTGAGTTTCCTGGTGCCCTGATTTTTATGGAGTATGTTTTTAGTTGCTGGCACTGGGATTCGAACTTGGGGGCCTCTTGCTTGCCAGGCAGGAGCATTGCCACTGAGCTACATCTGTGGCTGGAGTATGTTTTATAGTGTTAAAATAACTTACACAATCTAAGGTGGCCTAAGAACATCAAATGCAGATTTTCATCTTGCAGGAATTAACTGAGGTTGCTCTGCTACCAAGTAACTGTATCAGCATCCAGTCAGGAAGACAGAAGTCGCCTTACTTGACACACAAAAAGGCTTACCCTTAGAATATTAGTTACAAAGGTATTGGAAGGGCTGGGGAAGAGAGTTACCCAGAGAATGGTCAACTGTTCTGTAGCCTCATAGCTGGAGCCAGCCAGCACTTACCTTAACGCTGCTGAAGTCTCTGGCTGACACTGCTGCTGCTACACCTAAGCCTGTGGTACTGATGCCTTTCTTTTACATCTTTCTTTTAGAGTACTGCTTCTGAACTTTGTGGTACAAAGATTCCTTTGTCCTTTAATCTTTTTTGGGGGTGGGGGCATCTTTTTGACAGAGGGTTTCAGTATGCAGTTGAGGCTGTCAGCAATCATGCTTCAGCCTCCATAGTGCTGGGATTACAGGATTGGGCTTCCACAACCGGCTCTTTAATCTTTTGGTTTTTTGTTTTGTTTTGTTTTTTTGTCCTTTTGAGACAGGGTCTCGCTATGCAGTTCAGGGTGACCTTGAGCTCACTTTGTAGCCCAGGCTGGCCTTGAACTCACAATGGTCCTCCTGCCTCAGCCTCGCTTGTGCTGGGATAACAGGTGTGCGCCACTGTGCCCCGCTTTAATCTTTTGTTGACTTTATTTCCATGTTGATTCTGTGCCTCTTTCAGCTTTCCTCAACTTGTAATAGCTCTCTTCCTGATCCCATATCTCAGACCATTCTTCCTTAGGCTTTCTAGTTAATTCTGTTTTACTTCATGGCAATGGTTCTACTCTAGGCCGTAGTTCACAGTTTAAACTTTGGGAATGGCCTAGCACCAGCCATTTACCCTATGGATTGGGAAGTCACAGCCTTTCTAATTGGCACTTTAAACAGCTAAGTCAAAGTTCCCAGACGTAGTTGTTTAAAGTGCCAACCAGAAAGCCTGCAATTTCCACAAACATCTTAGATTTCAGATTGTCTCAACTTTCTGTTCCCCATCTGATTGTTCTTTCTTTCCGTGCTCGCTTTTTGCACGATCATCCTCCCTTGCCTAGACATTAGTATTATCCTTGGCCCTCTGCCTCTCTTGGCCCAGTAAGTCTGATTGATTCTCTTTCCTAAAGTCTCTGCAATATTTGTTTTCACTGCCATTCAGTTACCTCAGTTCAGATCCTTACCTCACTTTTGCGTTATCCTCTTCCTTCTGGTCTCTTCCTGCCAGAATGGACTTTGTAAAAGGCAAATCTGATGGGTTCATTGTTACTTCAGTTGAGTCCAGAACTCATTCTTAAAAGGTTCTTCCCTACTGCTTCAGCTTTATCATTAGCTGTCTCTTGTCTGTTCTCCCAAGTTTTTCTAGAAGTCATTTGTCCTTGTACTTTTAAGATTTAAAAAGTGTTGGACTGCTTACAGACATTCTTTTCATGTTTTTGTAATTTGATTAATTAGGAAACATAATTTTAGGAGGCACACTGTGGAGATTTGGGTGTGCTTTGTCTCTGACAGCCTGTATTTTCTCTGTATCAGGATTTATTAGTCAGTGATATCCTGTTTAGATTATTAATCTCTAACTTCACCCTCAAATTTAAAAGGAGTGAAAATAAGCCTTTCTCAAATGGTTATTATGAAAAGTAATCAGATGTGTGATGTTAAAATAGTACAGTTCTTGTCTTCCACAGCCCTTAGTTCTGCTTGTATTGATGCCTGCTGCTTTTTTCTGGGAACTAGGTGATTGAGTAGCTTTGTACTTGAACTAAATCAGTGGATACTTAAGAAAATTTTTTTTAAAATTACAAAGTGATTTATGGGAGTGAGAAAAGAAAGGTCATGTATTAGCTTTTTTTCTGTTATTATAATGAAATATCCAAGGCTGTATACTTTTTACAGAGGCTTATTTCGTATAATCTTGGAGCTCCAAGGGCATGGTGGTAGTATCCTCTTGGCTGTGCTCTGTTAAGGCCTCTTGAAGGATGGTGTCACAGTGACAGAAGTGTGTGTGAGAAGGAGAGACTGTATAGTGAGACAAGTCCTTTGGATAAGTAACTCACAAGAATAAGGTCCCACAAGAATTACCTTAGTCCCTTGTTAGGCACCACCCATAGTGACCCAGCCATCTCACAATAGATCTCACTTCTTTTTGTTTTCCAGTAATTCTATTTATTCTCTTTGCTTTTTAAAGAATCTTGGACAGTTGATTCAAAAATCGATGTTGGAGAGCAAATATCCAAGAATAGCCACTACACACAGCTGAAGAAAAAGATATAGCTGCCTACAATGACAAGTATAAATCCCATGGGCTGGGGATTTAGCTCAGCGGCACAGCGCCTGCCTGGCAAGCGCAAGGTCGTGAGTTCGATTTCCGGTACTGGAGAAAAACCAAAAAAAACAAAGCAAATAAATCCCATGAACATATAATCAAGCTAAAAAGTGTCAGAGACAAATGCACACACTTTATAGACAGACAAAACTAGATAATCCATGATTCATGGGAAGACCAGGCAGGGCTGGCTTCTTAAAGTCCTACCAACTCTCATATCACCACAGTGGCACCAAGTGTCTTAACACTTGAACCGTTGAGAGATGTTTAGGTATTTCAGGTTTTAAATGTCTCTGTTTTTTAAAATTCTGTAGGAAGAAAAACATTTATTGGATAGTGAAACTGACACAAAGTGGTATGGTCCCCTACAGGTGAACCTGGGTTCAAATGAGGGGAAGGAAAAGCAGTGAAACTTAAAATAAATTGCAAATTATGATATTGAGAAAACCTGAGACCTTCTTAAAAATGGGGCTACCTAGCAAGGTGAGGTAGTACATTTCTGACACTAATTTTTAGAGGAACCTGGCCATCTGGACACAACTGGCATGAGTGGGGGCCCTGAGCAGGGAAAGGTGTGATTTGTAGAGGAGCCCAGAGTGTGATGGGGAAGTGCATTGGGAGCTTCAGAAGAGGTGAGGTTTTCCCTCTTGAAACTCACTTGTGCAGCTGGCTAAAGAAGGAGTTGGGGTGGGGGCAGAGTGGTAATCCTAACTCGAGAGATGGACGTGGGCTGGTCTGGAGAGATGGCAGTGGACACAGGGGCCTGGGATATAATTTAGAGGTGGGACCCACAGATACACTGTAGATTGGAAGTGGAAGGATGGGAAAAGGAATTGAAATCCCCAAGGTTTCTGGTTAAGCACCTGGGTAGTAGAGATGCTGTTTACTGAAGGGAGAAGATAGACAGCAGGAAGAACATTTGAGGGCAGCTCTACTGAGTGGAGTGAGAAAGTAGGCACAGCATGTGTGGAGAGCTGTGGGTGTGAAGGAAAAAGAGAAGACAGATGGACACGAAGGATGGAGACAGCCTTTCCTTTTTTTCCTTTTCCCTTTTCTTGGGGATGTTTTTGTATTCTGAGATGGATTCTGACTGTGTTTCCCAGGCTAGTCTCAAACTCCTGGACTCAAGTGGTCCTCTCACCTCCATCCACCTCCTGAATGCTGAGATTATTGGTGTGAATCACCAAACCTGGCTTCAGTTGTGCCTGTGAAACATACTCATTTCTGTTGTTACTACAGGAAGTGACCACAAAAAGCCAGGCATAGTGACTCACACCTGTAACCCCACTACTCAGGAGCCTGAGGCAGAAGGATTGCTGCAAGTTTGAAGCCGGCCTGGGCTACATAGGTAGACCCTCTCAAAAAAACAAAACCAAAAAAAGGTACAAGTTAGCACAAACTAGTGGTGTAAAACAACAGCCTCGCTGTGTTAAGGTATTGTAGGTAGAAGTCTGATGTAGGGCTTGCTGGCTAGTACAAGGCTTAGTAGGACTGTGCTTTCTGGACTGGGGGAGAACCCATTTTCTTGACCCTCTCAGCTTCTTGAGGGTTCCTGCATACCATGACTCTTGGCCCCTTTGTCCCTCAAAGGCAGCAGCATAGCTTCTCTGCTTTTGTCCTCTGTCCTGACACACTTATCTGCCTCCCTCTCCTGTTGTTAAGGACTCTTGTGATGACGTTGGGCCTACTTGGAAAGTCCCAGGATGAGTTTCCTATCTGAAAGTCAACTGATTAACAACCTCACTTGCATATAATAAAACTTCACTTCCCCTTTGCCATATAATCTAATATATTTATAGGCTTTAGGCACCAGGGCGTGGGCATTTTGGGGGTACCATTCTGTCTTATACATGCATGTTGTAATTTAGAGTGTTAGTTGTCTTTATAACAGTAGCATATGAAACATTATAGACTTACATGCGGTTAAGAAATGTATGGAGAATGTTTATTAAAAGTTCCTATCCTCTCTCTTCCCACACGTCTAGTGACAGGTCAGTCTTACGAGAATATGGTAACTGAGATCATGTCTATGGGCTATGAGCGAGAGCAAGTAATTGCAGCCCTGAGAGCCAGTTTCAACAACCCTGACAGAGCAGTGGAGTATCTTTTAATGGTGAGAAACCAGTTTTTCTTTTCCTTCTATTTAAGATGAAAATCTCAAAGAAACATATTTTAAAGGAAGAGTATACTATATACTAGGTAATTTACATGTGCTTTCATTTTTCTTAGAACGTTAACATTCTGTGTTAAAATAATGACCCTTTCTACAAGCTTCTGCTGTGATTTTAGTTTGAAAATATGGCTAAATAAATTCTAAGATTGACTGTCTAGTTGCAGTGGTGCCTTATACCCCAGTTGTGTGTTGGTTGTAATGTTTTAACTTTCATAAGCTAATACAGCTGCACTGTGATCTGGGAGCTCAGAACTAATTTTACTTAGTGACTACATAAATTTTTGTAGTTAATTGCCAACTTCACAAGACTCGGTGAGTTCATATAAAAGTTTTAATTTCTGGTTTACCTGGACAGATTTGATCCCAGATTTTCTAAGCAGCTGGGGAAAAGATTGAGGTCATGAACTCTTCTAATTCACTAGTCTCCCATTCACTCGTGATCTGTTGTCACAGTTGTGACTTATTTTTGGTATTGAGGATTGACCCCACGGCCTTGAACATGCTAGACAAGTACCCTAGCCATAAGCTATATCTCCAGACCTTTTTTAAATTTCCTTTTGAGACAGTGTCAGTAAGTTCCCCAGGCTGGCCTTGGACTTGCCTTCCTTCTGTCTCAGACTCTGGAGTTACTACAATTACACATGTGTGTCATCGTGCCTCTCATCATGGTACATCGTATGTGTGATATTCCTTGCCCGATTCTGTTGACCTTTGGATTTGTTAGCTTGTTTGCAGTCAGGAGCAGCTGAGGAACTTCTGAATAATTGGAGGGCATGGTGTGAAGGTTTTTGAGAAATAAGTTGTGGACATTGAAAACCTTGGCATTTTATTAACACAAAAGTCTGCTAGTCTTGCAGATATGCTTACAACCCAAAGTACCACAATAAGGGGCTGGGGATTTAGCTCAGTGGCAAAGCACCTGCCTGGCAAGCGCAAGGTCATGAGTTCGGTTCCCGGTACTGGAGAAAAACCAAAAAACAAAAAAAACAAAGTACCACAATATTGGAATAATGCTGGATTAACCCTTTTTAGTCTTAAAATTTTGTCCTATAATTGTCTTTGGTGTTCTTGGAATATTAATCTAAGTCTGAATTGCTCAAAGGATAATCTTAGATGGCCATGATCCTGACTCTTTGGAAAATATTGTATGCTCCATAGTGTAACTCATTCCTTTATTTCTTGGTTGCATTTCTGTTAAAGCACCTTTTCATTAGCCAGATAGCTTCAGGAGACCCTCAGTCATAGCCAAATCACTGTGCTTTGTTTGGCTCTACCAGTTATTTGCCTGTGCATTGGCACATGAGGTTCACAAAACCTTTTCTTGCCAGATACGTTTATCTTTTTGAATTCACTTTTCCATTACCCTCTTGGGTATTGTCTTTAAATTCTTGCAGCTGGTTTATGTATCTTTTTGGAATTAAGAAATCCGTGGGTTGGTAGTTGTTACTTACTTTAGGGGGCTTTTCCCAGCCCCAGAATTTATAAAAGAGATTACATCTCCTTTCATAGAACAGCTTTAACTTACACCTAATTAGAATTCTGTTTGTTACTGGATTTTTTAATGTTTGTTTTGTTTTGTTTGTTTTTTGAGACAAGGTCTCACTATGTAGTCCAGGTTGGCCTGAGCTCACTATGTAGCGTAGGCTGCTGTGAACTCACAGCAGTCCTGCTTCTGCCTCCCCAAGGCTTACGGTCTGTGCCACCCACCACACCCAGCTAGTGTGAAATTTTAAGGACTAGAAGAATCACTTTTTCCTAAGTTTAATTTTAAACTGTTACGTAGCATCAAATGTAATTACGTAAACAGATGAGAGATGAATTCAGAAAACAGTTTAAATTGTATTTTTTTATATTTGCTGTTTAAACTGTTACTAGTTCACATACAAGTGAATGGGTGGAAAGAAGTATTTAGTCATTTATACCTAATAAAAGGCTGTATACTATGTGTGCGATTAGAGGTAGATTTGTAGCAGTGTTGACTGACTTCAGCTTAACATGCCTATTGGAGAACTTGATGGAAGCCCTGGCCTTTACATCTGTGTATAACTTGTTAGCACTTAATGACTTCTCATTTAAGGACTTGAATTGGTGACCTCTCTTAAACACTTGTTTCCCATGCCTGCAGTGGCTTCTAATGCAGGTAGCCGTCACCCTTCATTCCTTATGTTTGTGAGTTTGATGCCAGCCGTGGTGGCACACACCTGTAATCCCAGCACTTGGGAGGCTGAGACAGGAGGATAGGAGGATCATTGAGTTCAAGGCCAACCTGGGCTACAAAGTGAGCTCAAGGCCAACCTGAACTGCAGAGCGAGACTCTGTCTCAAAAAGACCAAAAAAAAAAAAAAAAAGAATCTGGCTTGTAGTTTATTAGAAAACAGAAGAATTTGCCATACTTTATTCAGTTGTAATATTCCCTTTTCCTTTCAGTACATCAGAATTTGATAAAGACTTTTTGTGTGTGTATATGTGTGATACTGGGGATTGAACACAGGGCCTTGTGCATACTCGGTAAGCACTCTACCTCTGAGCTACATCCCCAGCCCTAAGACTTTTTAATAGTTGCAGCTACAAACTGTAAATCACATGCATCAAAATTGGAGGTCCTGAAAGTCTTAGTGTGGTTTCAGGCTATAGTAACTTTAGAAGATATGTGCATTAAACATATCAAAATCACCTAAAAGTTATTTGAAGTTTATTTTGTGAATTTGAAAATTTCATTTTAGTTGTTAAGTGACACCTTCTGGATCACACTTTCTCAGAACCATGATCAGGCCGGGCGTGGTGGCACATGCCTGTAATCCCAGCACTCGGGAGGCTGAGGCAGGAGGATCGTTGCTACTTAGAGACCAGCTTGGGTTACAAAGTGAGTTCAAGGCCAGCCTGAGCTGCATAACGAGACCCTGTCTCAAAAAAGACGAAAAAGAAAGAACCATGATCAGTAAAGATCTTCCTGCTTGGCCATTAGAGTAATCTGATCTGTTCACTTTTTTACGGAGTCATTTCAGAAATTTCATCTTTGTTTTTGCTGGTCGTAAGACTAGGGTAACAAATGTAGCCCTTTGTATCACAGAGCAATAGCTATGAATGTTTCTAAGAAGTTCAAAAATCAACATGTAACTCAAAACCTTGGTTAGGTTTAGTTTTAATGAGAGATATATTAACATTTAACTTCGTTGAGTGGGGTGGCTAGTAGGTATCTTACTGTACAGCACACACAGCTAGAGAAAATTTCCATCACCATGGAAATTTCTGTTGAAAGTTACACTAGAGCATTGGAGTACTACAGCACATACAGACCATTTCAGAGTACATGCATTTTAAAATCGCTTACTTTTTTTTGAGACAAGGCCTCACTGTGTAGTCCAGGCTGGCCTCGAACTCTTGGCAATCCTGTCTCACCCTCCTGGAGTGCTGAGATTACAGTCATGTGCACTACACCTGGCTAAAATCCTTTATTTTTGGTCGAAGTAGACATCTGTTCTACACTTAGGGAAATCAGACAGGAATATTAAATAGAGTATATATCTTTTACTGTGTATACTGTCTAGTTAATTTTGCATAATGATATGTCTTAAAACTTGGAAATTGTGTTGTAGGGAATCCCCGGAGATAGAGAAAGTCAGGCTGTGGTTGACCCTCCTCAAGCAGCTAGTACTGGGGTACCTCAGTCCTCCGCGGTGGCAGCAGCTGCGGTGACAACAACAGCAGCGACGACAACAACAAGTTCTGGAGGTAAAGTAGAATCTTTTGGATGTGCAGGAACATGCAGATAACAGAAGTTCTGGGTTCAGTACAGAAGGGCTCGGCGAAATTCTACCAAGTGAATGTAAAAGGTGCCTTCTTTATGTTGAGCATCAGTGCTGCAGCTTTGCCTGAGAACGTATTCTGTTCAGTTTATTGTATGAAAAAGGTGTTTCACTTTGTGTTAAATGTTAACATTCTGAAGCCATTCAGACTGTTTGGCTGTGTTAAACATGTAGTTTCAGAGCCAGAAAGATCTTAGTGGTTATTATACAACCGAGGGATTAAACCTGAGGGATTTGAAGTCTTGTGTCCAGAGAGCAAATCAAAGCTTAAACTCCAGTCTTCTTGTTCATCAGTCCTCAGACTTCCACTGCCGTGGGTCTGACTCTGCAGAAAAGCCTGGAGCCTTTGTGGGGCCCGGGAGTTGTTCTCCTTCATTCTTAAGTGATTTAAACTGTAAAGTTTTGAAGAGGTTGTTCTTCGTGGTGTTTCCTACCTTGCATTATGGCAGCCAGCTTACGGGTTGACAAAAACCCGTAAGTACTTCTTGCAGTCTCCCAGAGGATGAGTTGCCGTTAGTTTTTGGGGTCCTGGTGGTAGTGAAAAGAGCAGGCCCCTGCTCTAGTTAAGATTTGGGGTGTTATCTCATTCAGCACTTGGTCTCTGAGTCTCATTTTCATTTATTTAAACTCATTATATAAGAATAAACACCTATGTGTTGTGGTTATTTTAACTGGAAAGATTGTCTTTCCAAATAATTAAGAACATAACATTTAAGAATTATCACTACTTTGCAAATTGACACATTCACAACAACATTATAATTGTATGTCTCACTGACACGTGACTGTCTGGTACATGCATGGAGGAGTCATGCCTGTGTCACTAGTAGTTCAAGCCATGTTAAAGCTGTATTGAGATACCATCTTAAAAGAATGGCTGTCACCAAAAAATCCAGTAATAGATGCTGGTGAGGACGTGGGGAAAAGGAACTCTTTTACATTGTTGGGAATGTGAACTAATACAACCACTATGAAAATCGCTCGCTGGGCGTGGTGGTGCATGCCTGTAATCCCAACACTCAGGAAGCTGAGGCAGGAGATTGTTGCAAGTTCGAGACCAGCCTGGGCTACAAAGTGAGCTCAAGGCCAGCCTGAGCTGCATAGCAAGACCCTATCTCAAAAAGACAAAAAAAAAAAAAAAATAGTCACTGGAGATTTCCTCAAAAAATAGGCCAGACATACTGACACACACCTGTGAACTAATACAGCCACTATGAAAATCACTCGCCGGGTGTGGTGGTGCATGCCTGTAATCCCAACACTCAGGAGGCTGAGGCAGGAGGATCACCATGAGTTTGAGGCCAGCCTGGGCTACATAATAAGTTCAAGGCCAGCCTGAACTATATAGTGAGATTCTGTCTCAAAAAACAACAACAAAAAACTAAAAATTCCAGCCAGGTGTGATACACACCTGTAATTCCAGCACTCAGGAGGCTGAGACAGGAGGATCACAACAAGTTCGAGGCCAACCTGGGCTACATAAGTGAGTTCAAGGCCAGCCTGCACTGCATAGTGAGACCCTGTTTCAGAACAAAACAAATTGCATTTGACCCAGCTCTTGCCTTTCCAAGAGAATTAAAGTCACATTACAATGATACATGCGTACCCATGTTTATAGCAGCATAACATATAATAGGTAGGTCTTTGAAACAACATAAATGTCCATCAGCAGACAAATGGATAAGGAAAATGTGGTACTTCGACATAATAGAGGGCCGGGGATATAGCCCAGTGGTACAAGCACTTGCATGGCACTCCGGATGCACAGTCCTGAGTTTGATTCCTGGTACTAAAAAAAAAAAAAAGTAGACATAATGGAGCTCTACTCTGCCATAAAGATAAACCTGAAGCATTCATAGGTTAAGTGGATGCAATTTGAAAGCATGATGTTAAGTGAAGTAAATCAGACACACAAGCTTAGATACCTCATGGTTTCTGTTATACAAGAAACTCAGATATAAATAAATACATATACTTATGTACACAAACATGAGCAGAATAGAAGATACACATTCAAAGAATGCCACAAATTTCCTATTTCATTGTTTAGGAAATATTTTAATATACATGCTAATTTGTTTCATTACACTACTAGTTCCTTAGTTGATTGAAAAGAAAGTTTTGTGCTATTAGCTGTTTTTGTAAGAATCACTGTTTAACTGTCTTGTATTCTGAGTAACCACTTTGGTTTTTGTTTGTTGTCTTTTTGAAACACGGCTTCGCTGTGCAGGTCAGGCTGGCCTTGTGCTCACTTTGTAGCCCGCTCTGGTCTTGAACTCAAAACGATCCTACTGCCTTAGCCTCCTAAGTGCTGGGATTACAGGTGTAAGTCACCATGCCTGGCTTCATAAAATTTTTTAAAATACTCTATTAAGAAATAGATGGGGGGAGGGAAGAAATGAATTGGGGCTGGGGATTTAGCTCAGCGGCACAGCACCAGCCTAGCAAGCGCAAGGTCATAAGTTCGATTCCCGGTACCGGAAAAAAAGCAAAAAAAAAAGAAAATAATTGACCAGGTATGGTTGCACATATGTGTGATCCCAGCAGTTGGGAGGCTGAGGTAGGAGGATTATGGTGAATTTGAGGCCAGCTTGGGGTACATAGGGAGTTCAGGGCCAGCCTGAACTATATATGTAGTAAGAACCTGTGTTCAAAAGAAAAAAAAGAATTGTCCTTACCCATTATGCTCAAAAACATAATCATATTTTTACAAGCTTTAGTTATACCAAACAGCAGCACCCTAAAAACATCACAATTGTTACTCCTTATTATAGTAAAGGGATTTAGACTAAATAGAGTTAGGTGTATTAATACTAGATTGTCTTGCAATTTATATCAAGTTTTATGATCACACGTTTGGAATTTAATGATAATAACCAAAGTCTTTTTTCCAGTATAGTTAAGTTTGTATTAAAACTCCACCTGATCTCTTAAGTGGGAAGTATCTTTCTCTGACTTTGGATTACCGATTATCATTTCTTTCCCAGGAATTCAAGTTCAGAATGTGTTCTTTGGCTGTTTTTGGTTGTATAGTTGGGTGCACATAGCAGTATTTTCACCAACAGTGACCCCATAAGATCATGTGCCTGCCTTATGTCGTGACCATTGTAGTTCGTCTAAGTGCAGTGTGTGATGTTCACGCAGTGACAGAATCTCCTAATCACATATTCCTCAGATTGTATTCCATCCTTACGTGCTGCATAATTGTTTTGTAAAGTAACTTGTGGGGCTGGGGATTTAGCTCAGCGGCAAAAAGCGCCTGCCTGGCAAGCGCAAGGTCGTGAGTTCGGTTCCCGGTACCGGAGGAAAAACAAAAACAAACAAACAAAAAAAAGTAAAGTAACTTGTTTTAGTATTGGGATATATCTTTCATAGGAACTTGTGAGCAACTGAAACCACTTTTAGTACTTTTTATTTTAATAGAATACATGAAGAGCCCAAGTTCTTGGTGATTTGGGTCAGTAGTACTCAGGGCAGTTGTAGGAAAGATTGTTCTTATAGTGCTCTGCAGTCTGTTCTGTTCTACACTTTCATTAATAGGAATGATTTTTAGTATAAGATTTGTATGTTTACTCCAAAAGACATGTATCATATGTTTAATATATATGATACAGAAAAATAAATATAGAAGGGAAACTTACTAGGCAAGAGGAACAGGCGGAGGCAGTATAAGGGATGAGCTGATCCAAGTATTTATGTACATATGAAAGTGCCACAGTGAAACCCACCCTTCTGTGAAATCGATGTACACTGGTAAGAATTGATCTAAATCAGACCAAAAGATCTGTATATTAGTACAGTTTGGAGATTTTGTCATTATTTAATTTGCTTTATTGTGTCTGAGAGCTCAATTCATTATTTTCAGTGGATTTGCTCTCTAATTGTATAATTTAGCCAGCTCTTTGTTACATGCACTGCTTTCATTTAAAAATGTTGATGTGTATTTCAGGACATCCCCTTGAGTTTTTACGGAATCAGCCTCAGTTTCAACAGATGAGACAAATTATCCAACAGAATCCTTCCCTGCTTCCAGCATTGCTACAACAGATAGGTCGAGAGAATCCTCAGTTACTGCAGGTGATAATTTCATGTTAACTTTGAAAGTGGGTTAGAATGTAGTGTATCACATTTTGAAAAATTTCATGAACATCCCTTTCCTTCCTCACCCACTCTTTGAGAATGGCCAGCCCATAATTGAAGCTACACAGAGTAGAATATTAAAGAGTTGGGGTATAGATATTAAATTGGTCAAATAATAGTTTAGGAGTCGTTTTATATTTCCTTTTTGCAGATTCCCTGGGTGCATATTAACATACTTGAAAATCTGAGAAGCTGTTTTAACAGAGATACTGCTTAACTTTGTAAATCACTTTTCACAAGTTTATTACCAGTGAGATGCTGCCTATTAAATATATAGCCAGGCGTGGTGGCGCACGCCTGTAATCCCAGCACTTGGGAGGCTGAGGCAGGAGGATCATTGTGAGTTTGAGGCCAGCCTGGACTACAAAGTGAGCTCAGGACTAGCCTGAACTGCATAGTGAGACCAGGCACTCAAGAGGCTGAGGCCGGAGGATCACCACAAGTTCAAGACGAACCTGAACTACATAATACCTGTTTCCACGCCCCCTCCAGCTCTCTTCCCCGCTCCCCCCCCAAGCCAGTCCCTCCTGCCCCCGCCCCCAGAAATAATAGCTGCAGGCGTATTTAATGCCGAGATCAGGAAGTATTTGAGTTTTGTACACGATTGTGCTACTTATTACTAAATATATGTATATATCAAGAATAAAATGATGGGCATGGTGATACATGCCTATAATCGCACCATGTGGAAGGCTGAGGCAAGAGGATCATCCTGAGTTCAAGGCCAGCCTGGGCTACATAGCAAGACCCTGTCTCAAAAAACAAAAAAAAAAATGTCTCAGCTTGCAGTCCCAAAGTAGTTTGGTTTTGGTTTTGGTACCAGGAATCGAACTCAGGACCTTGTGCTTGACAGGCACGTGCTATGCACTGAGTTATGTCCCCAGCCGTGCCATAGTAGTTTGTAAACATTGATTTTTATGAGGGGGGACGGATGTTCATGAAAGAATTTGAATTCACTTTACTGTTTATCTCACTCAAAATACTGAGTTTCTTTAATCATATGCAAGAAATCGCTCTAAAATAGTACAGGTACAGTTGCTGCCTTTTATTTAAAGTTACTGTTTTCCTTAAGATGCTTGATGTCAGTGTGTTGTTCTCCTCTGTCCTTCACATTACCACAGCAAATTAGCCAACACCAGGAGCATTTTATTCAGATGTTAAATGAACCAGTTCAAGAGGCTGGTGGTCAAGGCGGAGGTGGCGGAGGTGGCAGCGGAGGAATTGCAGAAGCTGGAAGTGGGCACATGAACTACATCCAAGTAACACCTCAGGAAAAAGAAGCTATAGAAAGGGTGAGTTTAAGTAAAACTAAAAATGTATTTCCTTATTAGTTCCTCTAGCAACATTTCACACACTCAGTGTTCACATGGGCTAGTGGGGCTAGTGGGTTCCTAGAGACAGTTCTGTTGCACAGAGATAAATAGAGCCCTGCCCTCAAGATTGCAGTCAGGACAGTACCTCAGCCCTGCTCTGCCACCTTGCCCTTTGCAAAGCCACAGGACCACAGTAAAAGTGCCCTTCTTACAAAGTATTCAGTTCTTACATTTGAAATTATACTTCAAGCCGGGCATGGTGGCACGCGCCTGTAATCGCAGCACTCCGGAGGCTGAGGCAGGAGGATCATTGGAGTTCCTGGCCAGCCTGGGCTACAAAGTGAGCTTGAGAGCAGCCTGAATGACATAGTGAAACGCTGTCTCCAAAAGACCAAAAAAGAAAATAGAGCCTGTAATTGCACTAATAATTGGTCGGCTGTATCTAATATGAAGTGCTGAATAAGGCAGAGAGACTGAAAGTAGTACTTGATCTGTTTGACCACCAAGAGTTACTGTAGGGAAGAAAACATTTACGGATCATTTTGTGCTCTTAACAGTCTGCAGTGCTTTCATCCTCATCTTTACCTTTAGGAACTAAAAATCTTTTGAGTTACAAATTTCTGTATGGTCTTTTTTTCTTTCTGTTTTTTTGAGACAGGGTCTCACTATGCAGTGCAGGCTGGCCTTGAGCTCACTTTGTAGCCCACCCTGGTCTCGAACTCCCAAATATCCTCCTGCCTCAGCCTCCGGAGTGCCTGAATTACTGGCGTGCAGTACCACGCCGGCTCAGTCATTTATTTATTTTTTTTTTAAACAAGAAGTTTATTTAAACAACAAGACACTTGACTTAAAGGGAAAACTACCTAAGATTCCTTTTTTTTAAAAGAGTAATTTACTCCTACTTAAAGACAGATTGCCCTACATGTAACAGCTACGTACAAAAAAGTTATAAAATTGTCCTTGGTTTTACAATGATAAATGAAAAACATTAAAATTCTCCAATCAAACAAGGTATGCAAGGATTTTCATGTTGTTGTCTTTTCTGTTAAAACAGTGAGAGCAAAATAACTTACTGGAATATAAAGATAAGAGCTGATGAGCATGCCACTAATGGAGAAAGGGGATTATTTTCACAGAACCAGTAATTCCCCATCCCATCTCCATTTGATGTCAATCAAAACATATTGTTGGCCATTTAGTAAAAAAAAAAAAAGCAATATGCTTGTGCACATACACCAGATACTTTATGTACAATAAAGGAATGGGGAAGGGGTAAGTGAAAGAATAGAGAAAACTATACTGCAGTAGTCAGGATGTGGTGGAACCAAATTGCAGTTTTCTAATTGAGAATGTATTCTTGGTCTGTAAGAACAGAGTTCTGGAGTAGGGTTGTTGCAGGTTCCCTTTTTAGTAGACACCTCCTGTCTGCTGCTGGAACACGTCAATTGTATCTTCATCCTCCATTTCCAACTGTGCAGGTGTGTCTGTTTCATTGATTGGCTGTCCATCAAATCGGAATCTGATCTGCCTCATTGACAAACCCTTGTCGTTCACAATAGGCTTTCATTAGTTTACTAAGTGGTGTATGCCTCTTAATCTTAAACTGCACCACAGAACCATCCTGCCCCGCCACCTTCAAATTAATATGATCGTTGTTCTCAGTCTTGACTCCTTCCTTGGGCTTTTCATCGGCCATAGCGAGCGCCCGAGTCTTCTTAGCTGCTGCTTCACAAAAAGAGGTACCAGGTCCGCACAGAACGAGCACACAAGCAACACCAGGAGCGGCAGAAGGAGGCAGCAGCGGTGGCCGAGGGAGAGGGCGCGCGCACGTCGTGCGCTTCTTCCCCTCAGTCATTTATTTTTAAACCAGGACAGTTAGCTACTAGTTTACTAGTTACTGCTAAAGAGTCTTTGCACAGCACACGTTAGTCTTCCAGCTTCTCTAGGAACTAAGACTTCTTTGAGTGATAGTTAAAGGCTCCATTTGGCCCGTTGGATTGGACAGTGAATTTCAGTTTAGACAGGGCTAAATGCATATACAGTTCTCAAGAGTTTTTCTCATGTTGCACAGTTTGCAGTCATGGTCTGTCAGTATTGCTCTGCTGGAGTCGTGTGTGAGAATTAAAAGCGCCGTGATTGGTGTGGTGGAGTTATATTTTCCTTCTTTTCTTGCAGTTAAAGGCATTAGGATTTCCTGAAGGACTTGTGATACAAGCGTATTTTGCTTGTGAGAAGAATGAGAATCTGGCTGCCAATTTTCTTCTACAGCAGAACTTTGATGAAGATTGAAAAGGACTTTTTTGTATCTCACACTTCACACCAGTGCATTACACTAACCTTGTTCACTGGATTGTCTGGGACGACTTGGGTTCATATCCGCAGTACTTGGTATATGATAGTAGATTGTTTGGGTGGGGTGGGTGGGATCTAGGATACAGGGCAGGGATAAATTACAGTGCATGTCTGCTTCAATTAGCAGATGCCACAAATCCACACAGTGTGTAAAATATACAACCAAAAATCAGCTTTGCAGGTCTTTATTTCTTCTATAAAACAGTAGGTGACTTTTCCTAGGTTTCACTCCTCTTAGTGTACTAGATCCAGAAATTTAGTGCAGTGCCCTGCTTTACGTTTCTTTGACCTAACATTGGTTTCTGAACAAATCTTCGCTACCTAGAATTTACAGTCTGTTTCATGGCAACACTGGATAATGGCTTTTTGAAACTGAGAGGAACTTTGGAGTAACTGTAAGCAGAAATACCAAATCACCCGTGGTCATTGTTGCTGCTTCACAAAAGTGTACAATTGATGTGTAAGGAAGCCCATTCTTTCACGTTAAATACTTAGGGTGTGGGAGGGGAGAAAGGGAACTTTTTATTAAATTGAAAATTATTACTGCTCTTTTAAAATTTCTTGATCATTGAATGTGAGACCCTTCTAACATGATTTGAAAAGCTGTTCAAGTATAGGCAGTTATTTTCTTGTTTACATTTTTTGTTTGGGGGAATAATTAGTAGGTGTCTAATTACTGTTTACTTCATTGTTACATTGCAGTAAAAGATTTAAAACAACCATTGCATGTTTGCTTTTGATGTATCCCGTTGTGAAGTCAGCACTTTTGGGGCCAATGGAGAAATGCAGTGTCTCCCCTTCTCCCTTTCTTCCTCTGTCCTCAGCAGAAATGTGTTTATCAGCAAGTTAGACTGCTGCCTTCAAAAATACAAAAAAAAAAAAAAAAAAAAAAACCTCAGAATGATAATTCAATTCAAAATTTCTGGAGATGATTCAAAACTGGGTTTCTGATGTTTGTAAATGTTTTTCCTTTACTAGATAAGAATGTGTTACCATTTAAGTCATTAGTATTATATTGCTTTCAAAACAGAGGTGAATAGAACTATAAGGCAGCATCTTTTACTGCATTGAAAGACTGATGCATTCTTTTGGAATGGTTGGGAGATGTGGCTGGAAAAGTACTTTGGAAAATATACAATCAAGATATCTCATGGCATATTAAAAGAAAACTCTTAATAGCGGTGTTGGCTTTTATTTGGGTTTTCTCAAATCTCAGTTTATTCTTTGTTATTGTTATTTGATCATAAAGAAGGGCAAATGTCTACTTGTTCAGTTTATCAAATCTATTTTCCTAAATATAAATAGGACTATTTAAAGAAATATTTTTTCCTACCATCTGATACAAAGAAGATGAATTTGCACAGATTTCTCCCTGCGTAACCTCTTTCAATATCCTTAGCACAGTTTGGTGATAACTCTAAGCTCTTACGTCATATACTCATGACCTGTCTCTTGTGAAAATAAATGAAACTATGATTTTCCTTCACAATGTATATGTTTAATTTTCATGTGTTTATTCCATAAACATGAGACTTTTGGACTTTGTACTACTTGTATGTGTTACAGTGAATTATGCATAATGTCTCAGGAGAAAAAAACAGGGATTTGTAAATCTTTGAAGGCAGAGCAATGAGTTGGGAAGAAGGGTATCATTTCTGGCCAGGTAATGTAATACACTCATTTATTTTATGGCAACCTATCTGCTAACTTATTGCTCATAATGGGGGGAAAACCGGCAACGGGAAAACTACATCCACTACTTTTCTCTGGAAAGTGACAGCAGAGGTTGGTGGCCTGGACCTTTTGTCCTTGGACAGCAGAGCTACCAGGTAGTATGGTGACTCTCAGAAGACAGCTCAGGCCAAGTTGTGACCATTCTTACTACCTTGTTTATCTGCTGCTTGTTTTATCAGCCAGCACACCATAAATGAAGTGGCTTTTTGTGCCTTTTGCTGTGACTGTTTAATTTACGAATAGTTATGGTAAATCTCTTAATGTCAAGTGACTATTTGACTTTGGAATTCCACATTTAAGGTGTACTGTCATCTATTTTTTAATATTTTTATTGTTAGCTGTACTGTGGTATATGTGAGGAAACCTGAGTTTATATTTGTAAAATTCTTTGCCATCCTCTAGTCAAATATTTTTTTATTGTTTAAAACTAACTGAAGTGTTCCACCATATAATTTTTTCCTGTACCAGATGACTAAGATTCTAGAGAATTGATTATAAAATATTTTCAATACATCCAACATTGCATTTCTCATTTTTTAAGTGATTCTCTCATAGAATCTTAGATTGAAAGTTGACAATGCTTCTGTCCCCAGCACTTCTGTTTTACCGTTGTTGATGAGTAATTGCATAGTAGGAGGCCAGGCGCTAGCTTGACTTTCCCGGTCTCCTCACTCTTCCCACGGAGACGTGGCACCCGAAGGCGGGGTTTATGGAGGCTGTTAGAGCTCGCACGGCAGTCCCGGTGTTTCCACACGTCTTGTCGCACAGCTGAAGGCAGCTATGAAATACTTAACCAAAAAGTAAGCAGTTTTCAACAAAAAGTACTCCCATGGTTGCTCTGTTCTGGTGGGTTCCCTAGCTAAGTGGGGAGCATCTTGCTGCGGGTGTCCTGTCCGCTTCCTGCTTCTTTTTATAATGCCAGAGGCCGGCAGACTTCAGCCACATGGGCCAGATCTGGAGCCTTTATTAAGGTCCATGAGATTGAATGATTTTAAAAATACATATTTTTTTCTTATTGAAACAGCAGTGTTCACTTAGTTGCATTTTGTCTGTAGCTATCTTGTGTTGCAAAGGTTTGCTGTTGAGTATGTGCAACACATCGACTTGCCTGCAAAGCATAGTTACCATCTGGCCGTTTTCTGTTAGGGCCCACCCCGTTGAACTGACTGGACCACCATATGTAAACTGTGTAATGCCTTTTATTCCTTTCTGGCAGTCTTAGACTCCTAGCTTCAGGGGTTTTTTTTTGGGGGGGAGGGTGATTGGGACTCCAACTCAGGACCTTGCACTTGCTAGGTAGGCGCTTGCCCCGCTGAGGTATATCCCCAGCCCAGGTTTTAGTGAAGGTTTGGTTTACATGTTACTATCAAAAGCTCTTTGTGGAGGAGCAGCAGCTCCCCAGTGTCTGGATGTGCCAGCCTTCTAGTGTTGAAGTGACTGCTTTGAAATTTACTCTTAGCTTTTGCTGTTTCTTCTTACAGTCAGAAAATGAACTTCAGCACAAAGCACATTATGAAAAGCCTGACATACTGATTTTTTTTTGAAAGACAGGTGAGTCTGAGGGAAAAGAAATATGGGGACCTGAGGGCCCCAGGGCCAACCACAGTGGAGGAAGAGAGTGGGTGTCCCTGGAGGGAGGCGGGCAGCGCTCGGACCTTTTGGGCGGTGGGCCCTTCCCGGGACTGCGGGTGGGAACCGGAAGGTGGGAAGGCTTGGGCTTGGTGGCGGAAAGCAAGGGAAGTAATGAAGAAACGTGGTTGGAAAGAGTCTGCCTTCTCAGGGTGCGGGTTCTCGGGGCTGTCCTTAAGTGCAGTCTGACTGGAGAGGGGGCTGAGAGGACCAAAGTCCACTTGCTTCGTTTGTGGTGTGGTCTGTGTGGTGAGGCCATTTTCATAGCAATGGATCCTTCACTAGGTGTCACCTAGCTTGTCTTTCAGGAGCACATGTTTAAAGTCATCCTAGACTTCTGCCTTACGTGTCCAACTCGTTCCTCCATTGTCCTCTTCGCTGTACGCCTTCCTTTACCAGCTTCCCAGCATGGGCTTGCCATGTTCAGGGCTGTGTATGGAAGGTGTTCCCCACCCCAGAAGTCCCGCCGTGTGCTTTCTGCTTAAGAGCAGAGCCACATGGGAAACCTGGACTCCTGCACACCCCCAGCTCCTCACCCTGTTCCCCAGTGTCCTGTACAAATAGCCACCCCTTGTGTCCGCGGGGGACTGGCTCCATGACCTCCCACCCTGGAGAATATCACTATCTTCACAGCAGATGCTGAAGCCACGTTCATAAAACGACATCTTTGCCTATAGCCAGTGCACACCCTCCTGTATACCTCGTCATCGGGTTGTTGCAGTACCTAATACATTGTAAAGGTTATGTAAGTAGTAGTTACACTGTGTTTACGGAAATGATAACAAACCTGTACTGTACATGTTCAGATGCAATTTCTTTTCGGAGTATTTCTAATCCGCAGTTGGTTGCATGTATACTGGAAATAACCTGAAAGTATAGAACAGATATGCCCTGCGAGCACCGTGGGATCCCATATGGAGATACATGCCTGTAGCTGCAGGTGTCTGGAGGCAGAGCAGAGGACTGTCAGCATGGGAAAGCTGGGGGCTGATGGTCCATATGGCAGGGACTACAACAGGACAGCAGAAGGCCCCTGGGTCTTGGGCATACACAACAGTAGACACTAAACAGGTGTGGCACATACCTGTAATCCCAGCTCTGAGAGGCTGAGGCAGGAGGATCACAAAATAAACACTGGACCACAGCCCTTGCCGCAGGGTCAGAAGCATAAAAAAGGTTTTCGTCTTCAAAATTGTAGAGTGAGCCTCGGGAGTAAGGACCGGAGTCTTGACTGCGGACCAACCTGGCCTTTTGGGTTTCTCTACTAATACGGGAGGGTGCACTGCAGGTCCCCAGCTGCCTCCCTGCCTTTATGGAGAAAATCCTGGTTTATCTTTTCCCCATCTGAGCTGTGGTACTGTTAAAAGGAAGGGGAGAGGTAAAGAGAGGAAGGAGGACGGTCTGGAAGTTGACTGGAGATGGGGTTAAATAGAGATCCTTGACCTCATCCACGCCTGCAGTCGAGTGCCCTTCTGCTGGATGTCCACCAGGATGGGTAGCATGAACCCAGGCCAAAGCTGGGAATGAGGTAGGTGGCTGGTGCTCCCAGGCCCATGTAATTCCAACTAATGGCTGGTATGGTGCACGCTGGCTTCATTTTGCATTGGCAACAGAAAAGCTTGTCACTGATAACATCATTGCCAGCATGAACATGAAGCCCAGCAAGTCACTGACATAGCAGAGCTTGAGCACGCTCAGGTTCTGAAGGATGAATTGTGGATGTGCGTGGTAAAGACAAGTGCGCCATGGATATTGCTCAGGGGCACAGCGCCTGCCTCGCAAGTGTGAGGTTGTGGGGTCGATTCCTGGTACCAAAAAAAAGCCAAGCATGCCAGGCCGGAGCCCAGAACAGTCTCAGCAGTATAAAAAAAGGCAGCACACACCTGAAGTGTAAATGCGTAACAGAAACAGCAGGGGTGAGATCACATAACGTGCCACTACTGTAAAAAGCCAACAACAAAACAAGCTTACGGGAAGGTGAAAGAGCGTGAACATAAGTGCTTTATTCTCATAGCTAAGTCCAAAGGGCAGCAGTGCACAGGCCAACATGAAGAGAAGGTGGACAGCTAAACACGTTAGAGACCCAGGAACGGCCAGCGGGAGGAGGCAGGGTCCCTAAAGGGAGACGTGCAGGCTCAGTGGGATTGCCATAGTGGGTCTGGCTGCTGTGCTGGACTGTCCTTCCCTTTCCATGGGCTCCTCCACTCGTGTAGCACTGCAGGGGTCGGGCCCCAACTGTTCACATTCCCAACAACATCAGAGTGAATAGGGCTGTGGTTTGAAAACCACCCAAGGAAGCTACAGTTGTTCCTAGGTTCCTCTCCGCTAAGGCCTGGAGTAGAGATGGGCGCCACGGGTTGGAGCAGGAGAAACCACCTGGCCAGAGGGACCATGATGAGCACCTTACTTTGCAAATGGTTATGTCCAAAGTAGAACTTGGTTTTGTACTCCAACCTGGCAAAGCCGAGCTTTTCACTTCCAAACTGTTCCAATAGCTTAGTACGTCTTTGTCCTGGCGGTTGAGAAAGGATGATGGCGGAGGTGGTTTTAGAAAGCCTGCCCCTGGAAGGACCTAGATATTTTTGATGAGGAGGCTCCTGTCCTGTGGTGGTGTCATCGGAGCTGCCCCGGTTCTCAGGCCAGCCCGAGGTCGGGACGGTCCACCTGTACCTTCATGGTCCCTGGCTTGTCCGTGCTGCCTTCTGTTGCCTGGGACCCTGCCTCCACCACTTTCCTCTGCTCTCTCACTGGGACTGGAGGCGCAGTCCCTGGCATTGCTTTTCTGAGCTTCCCACCGTCCATGGCTTGAGGCCCCCTCTGCATGGAGCTGTGGAGTTTTTCTACCACCCTCTTAGCAAAGCCACGCTGGTTTATGGGGAAGGGGACGTTTTTCGGCCTGTCACAGTCCCCACAGTTCTCACGGTATCCATGGTCACAGGCTCCGAGGAACACTGGCCCTCCCTGGGTGGGCCTGGAGGTAGCCTGCCTGGGGTCCCCCACAGCCCGGGCCAGAGCACAAGGCCGCGGTGCAGGGGGAGGGGCCAGGCAGCCTTGTCCCCAAGTTGCAGGTGTAGCGTGCTTCCAGGGATTGCCGGGTCACGCTTCCGCACGGCAGCCTGCACCTGTGCCA